ATGAACAAAGGCGGCCATCGAGAAGGAACAATCCTGCCCTATGAACGGACAGACTAACGAAGATAAAGGGAAAGAAGGGAGTTGCTAGACTCCAAAGAAAACTAGCTCCCCCGAGAAGATGCTCACGAGAAGGAACCGGACACAATGTATGGAAGTTAAGGGTGAGCTGCACACACAGTTTTGAGAGAAAAGTGTAAGGTGTGGGTAGGCCGTTGGGAGCACCTTGGGATAAGCACTCGTACTATGTGTGTCCCACTTGGGACTTGTGGCTGCGTGATGGGGATTCGAGCGTCCTGCCATGTGGAAGGAAAGGATTGGTTTGAGCCGGCCAGCGTGGGATGCGAACTGGTCGTCCTCTTTGAAGTTCACCGGGTTCCGTGTGTGGGGTCGGGCCACCGGACTGTCAGGCAAGGGTTGGACTCGTCGGCTGATTAGTAGCATTCTCACCCGAGCGGTCCGAGCGTGGCTCGATGACCTTCCCCAGGCGGGATGTGAAACCTCTTCAGGCAGGGCGGCTGCTTGTCGGCAGACGGCAGGGGGACCACTGCATATGGGGCAAGGAAGGAGCCTCGGAGGCGATTAAAAGCTTCTCGTAACATGGCTTTGGAAAAACTATTCCTTATCGGACCGATGGAAATAAATGCCCGGACGGCTGGCTCCAATGGCCCTACCGAGATGTGCGGGGTGATTCCCGAGATTAACGGTGGGTACACGAGCGACAACTCGGGATGGGGTATTCTAGGTAAGGAGGAAAGGGCGAATGCCTTGCCGAGACCTGGGTACCGCGCTCACGACGGTTGAGCTGTGATGGAGGTTTGGGCTGAAAACCCTGCCGATAATAACAGTGGAGAGACCATTTATGGGAAAAAGGTCGGTGAGGAGATGACCGACCTATGTGTGACGTTTGCCTGGTTTTGCTTTTTGTGCCTCCCTCTGTAAAGTTGCCTGATGGGGACCGAGCTTCTAAGTCTATTCTCACCTCCAGGTCTAAGTCCGCACGAGAGAGAGAACATGAGGAAGAGGTTGGATAGGAGTCGGAAGAAAGTGGAACCAAGAAAAAGGAATGCGAGCCACTGGTGGTCGATTGGGGGGACTGGTTAGGGATGCGGCGCTGGCTGATACGCTTGGAGGATGGGTGGAGAACTTTAGGGAGACCTTGATGAGGGGTCTCTAAAACAACGCTCATCTAGGATAATGGTGGACCTAACCCGAGGGCCAATTGGTGCGCTCATTGGACGAAACAGGTCTTGGCCACCGGTATAAAGAAGGCAGGATGGCGCAGTGGCTGACGTCGCTGACCTACTCAGATGGACCAGAGATGCCAATAGATGTGAAGGGTGGGGTATCAGTCGTAATGCCAGAGGAAGAAACGTGGACGGACCTGGAGCCGGCCTATCAAACTGTAATGCTGGCCGAAAGTGATGCCTTCCTATGGATTGAAACGATGTGGACTAAGGTAACCTTGACCAGGATAATGTCGTGCCTATTGGACTTAGAGTTCCGGGGGACCGTGGAAGCCCGGGGATGGATCTGCTTGTCAAAGGAGAGGGAGACTGCGATGGTTGTCGAACTCGCCTTGGGGAAACTTCCGTACAAACTGTTCAGGGAGGTCGAGCAAGAAGTAGTGTGGGCTGCGTGCCAACGAGTGGAAATGACGATGGAATCGATTGATGTGCGGGTAGAACTTGGGGATAGGGAGAACGTGTGGAAGCCGTACAGGGCCCTAAGGTGTGTCATGCCGTCCTCCATGGTAGACGCTGTCTTTGGAACCCGGAGTAGGTTGGTGCGAATATGCAGGGCCATGGCCGGGTTGGGGTTGCACTAGGGAGCCCGCCAGGATTTCTTCCGGTTGTCGGTCGAAATGGGACCCTTCGAGGGAAACTGGGGAAGGGAACTGGCCGAGATCTTAAACCATCTCAGCACAGAGGGCTTGTTAGTCCCAAGCGACGTGCACTGGCGGATAGTTTACAGGAATGTTGCGGTAGGGAAAATCTGTCTGGAGGGTGTACGGGACATGTGGCCTAAAGAGAATGAAGATGACTCCGAGGAGGAGGACGAGATGGAAATCGAGGAATGAGATTTCTAGGGAAAAGGGGGGGGCTGAGGATGGAATGGTTGGGTCGCGTGGGGGTGTGCAGGGAATCAAGGATGGCAAGGGAGCAAAGCTTGTGGGCGCGGATGTTTAGAGGATGGACACCTAGGAGGGTTGAGGGCGGGGTAGAAATGGTCCTGCCAACAAGGAACGAGTGGCGCGGCGCGGCCTGCGACTGGGTGGGAGTAGAGATGGTACCGACTATGTCCTTTTTGTGGGTAGAACGGGTGTGGGATTCGGTTCGAGAAAATGAGGCGTGGGATGAAATAGCCGAGGGGAACGTGGAAGCACTTGGGACGGTGTGCCTTTCGAAGAATGAGTGGTATATGTTTTGCACGCACCTAGCGGGGGGACGAGACCCGATGTGGATTTTAGAGGATGCCGAGCGGTTAACTTGGGAAATGGGGCAGAATTTTGCAAATGAGGGGTGGGATGAAGTGGGAAGCAGGGTCGTGATGGTAGGATGGGAGGACCTTAGGCTCCCCTACCAGTTAGTCCAGGTGAGGGTGCCTCATTTTGTTGCAGACTGGTTCGGAGGGTACGAACATATCCGCGCCGTAGCGGAATCCATGGACGAGGTAGAAACAGGCTTCGCCTGGTTATCATACGCTTATTACGAGGCGTCATTGCGATTCGGGCCATTTCACGGGGACCGGGCTGAGGAAGTGGTCGAGATCCTGAAGGAACTTAAGGACTACCGACTAGAGGTAGGAAAGGAAGTCGAGGAGGCGATACTCCGTCGGAAAATAGCCGCAGCGCCCTCGTATGTAGGGGACGTCTTCTTGTTGTTTGAGGTCCTATGGATTTGAGTACGAACCTGGGAAGACAGGGGAATAGGGGGATTGGCTGGGAAAAGAAAGGGCATTGTACATTAAAGAAGGGGTAGTGTACACAAAAACGGGGGGGGGGGAACCGAAACAGAGAAGGGGGGGGGCTAGGGCAACTAGGAGATAAGGGGAGAAGACGAGAACTAAGGAAACTTGACTAACGTGGTGCATGCAGAAATCAAGAGCGAGGAGCGGTAGCAGGTAACGAGGAATGGCTAGGCGTATGACACTTTGGGAAACTCGGCCGCGAGGGATATTGCCGCCATGTTTCTTGGATAGAAGGGTGAGGTTAGCCTGCCCTCCAGGGGTGGGGTGTATAATCCGGTGATGGACTCGGTTGGGGTAGAACTGGTGAAGGACACGGTGTACCTGGTGGTGGAATTAGAATGGCGCGCAAGGGGTGAGTTTGGGGGCACCAACCTGGAGTTGCCGGGACGGGTGCGCGCGACAGGGTCCCTATACTTGTCGGATGCGGGATGGCGGACCTTCGGGGTGGCCTTGGCGGATGGCCGTGACCCCGTACGGATGTTTGACGGGGTGTGGCAGGTGACCTGGAGGGAAGGGTTTGTGTTCGCCAACCCGGACCGGGATGACGTAACGGCGACCGTGCGTGTGGTCGAGGTAGGAGCTAGTATCTTGCCTTATGAAAATATGTGCATGGTCTTGCCACCCTTTTTGCTTGAGCGAATGGGAGGGGTAGAACGTGCTGAGATGGCGGTGATAGCCCTGGGTAGGTTGTGTTTTAGTAACATGACCGTCTATCGAGAATACTACCGGGCCTTTCTGGAACTAGGGCCGTTCAATGAGGAGCAGGAGTACGAGGTGCTAAACATTCTACAGTCGTAGTGGGCACTAGACCTGGAATACCGACGATAACCGTATGGGAGATAGCTAGGCGTGAGATAGGATGCGGGCTGACATATGTGGACGACGTCCGCCGACTGTTCGAGGGGGTAGAAGAGTAAGAGGGCAGAAAAAAAAGCAAGGGGGAAGGTAGATCAGCGGGATCGGGCTATAAGGGGGCTTGAAGAAAACAAAAAAGAGAGGTTCCTTTTCCCTTTTCCCCTTTTTTTTTGTGCGTGGTGTATGTAGGGCGATATTCGCCAACAATGGCGGCAAGACACGTTCGTACGAACCGACGGGACATGCACCCGCAACCGCCCATGGAAACCAGAGGCGGATGGGAAGTGTCACTCCCGACAAGCTACATTGTCCGGGGGATAGATACGGAATGGCGGGTTGTGACCCTAGGACGGAATCAGGCTTTCATGCTAGTTGAGTGCCTATGGGGTGGCATGAGATTCGATATGGGGCCAGGAGACGACTTATATACTGACCTCAGGGTGACAAGGACTCTATATTTCCCAGAAATTGGGGGGCAAATGTTGGGAACTGAACAGGCCTTGGGGCATGGGTTGTTACCAGTGTTCCGGAGGGCAGTCAGGGTCCTAAACCGGATAGGCCATGAGGTTAGGGGAAGACGGAATGTGGGATTAAGGACGCGCATAAAAGTAGGGGGATGGCGAGACTTTAGGGCCCCTATGTCTGGACTGCGCTGCCGGGTGCCCCGCTTCATGGTTGATTTGGTTTTTGGGAGTCTCGCTCGGGCAAGGGACCTTGCGAATTCAACCGTAATCTGGGAACGCTACTTCTCACCACAGGCCACGGGGATGTTCTATGACGCGGCAGTAAGGCATGGGCCGTTCTGGGGAAACCGGGTGCGAGAATTGCTGGAATTCCTTGAGATCCTGATATTCGGAACGCCCTGTCCGTCGTTTGAGGAATACGAGCCAATAATCATAAGGGAGATCGAGATGGGGGAGAACTATCTCGCAGGGGTGGCAAGACTATTTGAGAAACCAGATGAGAGGGAGAGACCGGAAGAGCCAGCGTAGGAAAGATGTCAGAAAAAAATGGTAGATAATAAGAACCAAAGGGGAAAGAAAAATAGGTATAAAAAAACCGATTAGATGGTCGCGACCAGATCTACCATGGGTTGAATACATGCCAGGAAAAGGGGGTGAGAGACGCCGTTGCAACCAAAGGCGCGGCTAAGATGCCTAGGATAAGCGAAGGGAAGAGCAAAAAGGGGTGAAAAATAGGCAATTCTAAAGGCTAAGAGAATTATGTGCGATTGCCAAAAAAAAAAAAAATCCTTTTCCTTCTTCCATATCACAGGAAGGAAAACATGGCCACGGGAGACGAGGCTGGAAGTCAATTGAGGGACGAAAATCAGGATGCAGAGGACAACGTAGATCAAGAAGAGCGGGACCTAGGGGATCAAGGGTCGGCAAAGTCACTAGGAAACAGGGAGAGGAGCAAGGACGTTGTGCTCGGGGAAGATTCAGGAAAGAGTGGGGGAAGTAAACGGGGGACTCCGGGAACCAAGGAAGTCAAAGACACGGAGAGTCCGACACGTCAGCAGCCCGAGGGGGCGGAGCTGAAAAAGGTCAGGCTAACGGATGCACGGAGGAAGCTAGCCGAAGTAGAGAGACGCACGGCAGAATACAGGGCAAAACTATTGGAAGAGATCATGAACGATGCCGAGAAAAATGCCGCTGATGACAGGACGTGGGAAGAAGGGGAAGTGGACCTCGGGCAAGGAAGCCAGGATGGGGATGCACAACACAGGAAGGATCGGCCTAGAGACACGAGGGACATCCCAACAAGGAAAGGGAAAGAAGAAATAAAATTCCTTAGGGAGGATAAGGATAGACCAGTCAATCCACCCCTACTGGACAGCGGAGCAAGCCTACCCTCGGTGTCGCCTGTAAGTGCAAGAGGATGCGAGGGACTCTGGAGCTTGAGGGAAAGGGTGCCAGGATGGTTTGACCCGGAGGGGATCGCAAAGCCAAAAGGGCAACTCGATTTTAGCAAGGAAGGCGCCGGTCCGAGTTCCGCGACAGGACCTGGGATGATTAAGGGAGGGCTTAGGAAGGTGGTGTCGTCCCTCACGCGTGCTCTAAGCAAAAACCAGGGATACTTGGCCGACGCCAAGAAAAAGTTGACTTTCGATGGAGGAAACATCACCAAGTTCCTAATCGATTATGAAAATCTAGCAGCTTTGCTAAGATGGACTGAGGAGGAAAAAATGGAGCACCTAGGCCAGCATGTGTCACTCAACCTAGGTAGGGACATAATGGCAATCGTCGCAATAAGCGGATCATGGAAAGAGGCCAGGGACATGATGATGAGGAAGTATCTAGCAGACGAAAAGATGGCCACGGAGGCGGAACTGGCTACAGTGCAGAGGAAGAATTTCGCAACATACAGCGACTTCCTAAGGGAKTTTACYCTCGTAGCWCTACGAATCCSCGGAGTGACGGAYCGRATAATGAGCAAGTAYTTYCTWAAGCAGTTCACCGAGTTTGACAAAGATAAGATCTTGTCCGCCTATCAGCAGACAACAAAGTTCCTGAACACTAGAGACGTAGATTTCAGCACTATAACGGATATTGCAGAGAAGATGGTGGTGACTGACTCATTGGCCCTGCTAAAAGAAGGAGAGATCATAGATTTGACAGGCAAGACTGGAGATAAAGTGAAGAAAGGAATCGAAAGCCTGCACGAGCGGGTCCATGGGGTTGACGGCAAGATAGAGAGCGTAGAGAATGCATTAGTGGTGATGCAAGCCTAGGTCTCGCAAACGCAAGCAGCACGACCCCCCCTCCCGCCACAATAGGCAATCGTACCCCCAGGGATAACCAACCGCGGTAATAATCGAAAGGACCCGGCCAATGAGCAGTGCAAGTACCGCATGATAGTCGGACATTTTGTCTGCATGTGTCCCAGGCTTAACCACGATATCATCCTTAAATGGTGCTTTAAAACTTTGCGCGGGGAAATCCTGGGGCCACGAGAAGAGAGGGTAAACTGAAACTCGTCGGGAGGGATGCACAGAGCAGTAATCGCACTTAACAACCTGGACGCAGTCGCGGTTGAGGCCGAACCAGTAGAGGAGCTTACCTGGGGACAGGCACCCGGGCGAGGGCACCAGGTTAACTTCATCACCGAGAGTGATGACCGCGACGGGGTTAATGTGACCATCAGACAACGGGGTGCTGCAAAGAAGGTAATTCAGGACGCGGTCATGGAAGACGCGTAGGAAGGGTCGAATCCGCCAGCAGAATCGGATCAGGACAAAGTTTACGGCAAGCCTAGGGAGGACGGTAGACAAAGTAACATCCGCAAGGAAGAAATTCAGGTACCAGATCCCTATCCTTGCCAATCCTGAGATAGACGACACTCTTAGCAAGTTGCTAGGGACCATGGTATCGGTTTCCTTCCAGACCATGTTGCAGGCTAGTCCTAGACTACTGAAGGGCCTAAGACAGCTACTAACAAGGCAAAAGGGTGGAAGTACCGGAGGAACCGGATGTACGTGAAGAAGGCTAGGAAGAGGAACCACCGCGGGAAGTGGCAAACCTTCAGAGGGCCCCCGGGGATCTGGAAGATCTAGAGAAGGCCTTCGCAGACATCCGGCTAAGTCTGCCAGACCGGGAAGGCGGAGAAGTCATGAGGGCACCGCCTGGTACGAAACTGAGTTTCCATGCGCTACCGGTAGGGAAACTGAAAGTCCAGATTGGCAGCCACCATACGGATGCACTGGTAGATGGCGGGGCAGAAATCACACTCATTCGCAATGACTTTGTAATAATTGCTGGGTGTCCAATCAACCGGGAGGTCACGGGGAGTGTCCGGGGAGCAGGTGGGGAAATCCCCTTTTCCGGCTATGTTACCAAGTGCGCAGTTAAAGCCGTGGTTAGAAAGTCTATATGGTGATTCAAACGAATGACCGTCATGAACGAAATGGACCATGACGTGATCCTCGGGCGCCCGTGGTGTGCGAACGTAGAGATGATCGGGATGCATCTGCACGACGGCACCTACATGGTAGACATAGAGGACCCGGTGACAGGACGAGGCGAGCTGCTTCGCCTTATGGGAACCGGGGGAGACACGCCAAAAGGGAAACTCGCAACCTGGTCACCCTCCTTTGAGGAGAGCGCTAGAAAGGGGGCTTTCGCACGCATGGAAGGGATGAGAGAGAGGGTGGAAATTATGATCGAAGAAGCCTTTAGTAAGAAAGAATGGGTCAAGATGGGACTCCCGATGAAGAAACGTAGGTCAGACGAAGACGCCCTGGGAGTCATGGTAGTAGAGAAGGAAACAAAAGTGGAATTGGGAGCCAGTTTGCCCAAGCGAGGGGAGATCCGGGATAAGAAGGATAAGGTCACACTAGAAATCCCGGACTTACTACAGCTTGTCAAAGCAATCAGGTACCACAAAGTGGCCATTGACCCGGCCGCCCTCGCCCGCTTTGAGGAGAGGGTCCAAAAAGGCTATTGCCTAAATGGGGAGCTGGTCAGTATTCAGCCCCGCATTGTGGAAGCCCCGCAAAAAACTCCGGCCATTCATTTTTTAGAAGAAAGATCCCGGAAGGAAGTGTTCGGACGTATAAGCCAGTAGGAAAGAAGGCGAAGCCGGTCTCCATCCTACTCGAGATGACTAAGGTGGAGGCCATGGAAAAGGAGGAGGAGGTTCTTCGGGTAATTAGAGAAAGGAGGGTGGCRGAAGGACATAGGATACCGGATGAGGTGGCCCAAACCATGAAGATCGGAGTAAAGGGTTTTCTGACGGAGCAAGAAACACAGGCAATCAAAGAAGTATGCCAAGAATCTCACCTAGCATTCGCTTTCAATGACCATCAGAAATGGCGCTTGGACGCTAAGTTGATCCCACCAGTCAAGATCCACACGGTCGAGCATGAGTGTTGGAATGACAAGGGACCGGCCTACGATTTTGGGATCACAGGAGAAGTGACGGAGCTCCTTAGGGCAAAAATGGACTCCTTCGTGGCAGAACCCACCGCATCTTCTTATGCCAACAAGTGGTTTGTATTCCGCAAACCCAACAAGTCACTTAGATGGATTCAGGACCTGCAAAAGTTAAATGCTGTCACCATCCGGGATGCGGGATCGTTGCCGCAGGCAGATCTCCTGGCCGAATCCCATGCCAGACGCAGTATTTACTCATTGATAGATCTGTTCTCAGGATACGACCAGCTCCCGCTGGACGCACGAGATAGGCCCTACACGGCTATGCATACGCCAATAGGACAGTTGCAGATGCAGGTCACACCTATGGGATTTACTGATGCGGTAGCAGAGGCACATAGGAGGATGCTCGCGGTGGCCGGGGACATGTTCCCAGACAAATGTGAGCCCTACATTGACAACAACCCTGTCAAAGGAGCACGAGAGAAGGATGAGACCGAAGTCCAGCCGGGGATAAGAAAGTTTGTTTGGGACCACCTGCAGGATATTAGAGAGCTGCTGCGAAGATTCTTATAATACAACATAACCGCTAGTGGTCCGAAGAGTATCTTCAAGTTGGCAGTTCCAGAAGTCACAATTTTGGGATTTCGTTGTGGAGCCTATGGAAGGAAGCCGGATCCGGCTAAGACCGATAAGATAGCACAGTGGCTTACGCCTCTTCGAACTACAACAGAAGTCAGGGCATTCCTGGGGGTGGTAGGCTTTTGGAGAATCTTCATAAAAGGATTCGCAAAGATAGTGGAACCGATTCGAGCCATGATCCGTGAAGAAGCCACGCTCGATTGGACTGCGGAAAGGGAATCGGCCGTCCAGACCCTGAAAAATATTCTCACATCCGAAGAAGTCACCCTTGCCGCTCCGTGTTTCAACGACGAGGTCGGTCGACCTTTCATCCTTGAGACGGATGGAGGACCAATGGCAGTCGGCGGGGTGCTAATTAAAAAAGGCGAAGATGGTAGAGAGCGACCAATCATATTTGAGAGTAGGACGCTCAATTTAGCTGAGCGGCGCTACTCTCAGTTCAAGAAGGAGGTACTTGCGATACTGCATTTCCTAAAGACCTTTCAGACTTATCTCTTCGGGAGGAGGTTTATCCTGAGGATAGACCCAACCAATGTCGCTGGGGCCCTGAAGAACTATAAGCCTATAGACCCGACTGTTGGAAGATGGGTAGGATTTATCTGGCAGTTCGACTATAAGATTGAACGCATAGTCGGCCTTAGGAATCGAGCAGACGGACTGAGCAGGGTGGCCCTCACACCCGAAGGGCTAGAACAGGCAGAGCCGATCGACGCGTTCCTCGACTACGAGAGTGGGACGCTGGTAGTAGACAGCGAGATGGCCGTAACCACTTGCACAACTGGGGAGCTATTGATCAAAGCACTCGAAAAGGGGCCTCCGGCAATGGTTGCTGAGTTAAGGGAAGGTACGGTCACCAGAGTCGGAAGGAGGGAAGAGAAGGACGCCTGGGTAGTGTTGTGAAAACCCGGGATGAACAAATTGCACTAGCCATTGAGGGAGGCTGGAGAAGGGTTATGAGCATGATGGAGTCTCAGGAGCTTGCATCACTATCTGGCTTATGAGGTGGATAATAATCAGACGGGTACTCAGAAAGAAGAGGAGTTCTTCCTTATCAAGTCATATGAAGATTTGTTCAGAGAAATTGGGTTGCTACTTGTGGGGAACAAAGAACCCCACGAGGTTAGTCCTAAAGCTAGGGAGGAAGCGGATAGGTATGAGCTTAGAAGGGGGCACCTATTCCGAAAGGAGGAAGGCCTGACGCCCAGGAGAGTAGTCTGTGGAAGGATGCGACAACTCGACATTATCCAGGTCATGCATGACGGATTGGCCGGTGGCCATCGCTCATCCAAAGGGACCCTAGCCAAGATAACGCCGCTCTATTATTGGTCGGGAATGGCATCTATGGTTGCCACGTACTGCCAGACCTGCAAAATCTGCCAGGAACAAAGCACGGCCCGCATTTTCGAACCACTTAGACCCACCCGCGTGCTGGGACCAGGGCATATGGTACATCTCGACCTGGCAGTCATGCCGGTTTCCATAAAAGGGTAGAGGTACATACGGGACGCAAGGGATAACCTTAGTGGGTTTGTCGAGGCAACCGCACTCAAGAAGAAAACTGGGTTTGCAGTTGCAGACTGGGTGGAGAACTTTTATCTGAGGCACCCGTTCATCAGGAGATTCATAGCCGGCAATGGGACTGAGTTTGTAAACCAGGACGTCCTGAATACCTGCAAGAAGCTTGGCTTACCGATCAAATTGACAGAACCATACCACCCTGAGGCCAACGCGCCAGTCGAGCGAGGACACCAAACGCTTAAGAACATGATTCCAAAGTTGGCAGCAGATGACCTTGGGAACTGGCCGGATTATCCCAGACACGCGGTATTCGCCGAGAATATGACACCAAAAAGGACAACGGGTTGCATCCCGACAGAGCTATGGTATGGCAGGGAGATTGACTTTCCGGTAGAAGCCCTAGTATCCACCTGGAACAAATTGGTAGACGACCCTCATCTGACTACGGAACAATTGATTGAGGCAAGGTGTGAACAAACGGCCAGGAACGAGAAGGCCTTGGAAGAAATAGCTCACAAAGTACTAGACAGTCGCATGAAGGACAAAACCAGGTGGGACCAGTTGAAGAACATCCGGAAGGAGCCTCTGCAGGTCGGGGAGATGGTTCTAGTCATAAATTCGGCACTAGAAACTACATGGTCAGGCCAGTTGGGGCGGCGATTCAAGGGACCTTACCGTATTGCAAGAAAGTTGGGTGTGAGCACGTTTGAGATTGAGAACCTGGATGGGATCAATATAAGGGGGTCAGTCTCCACGCAACGACTGGTCAGGTTTCTCAC